GGACACAGCGGGAAACATTGGAAAAATCGGGAAGGTACCGTATTCCCCCGGATAAAACACCCACGGGTGGCACTAAATTTTGATGCAAAATTTAGTGGGGGTGTAATTAGTGGCACTTTTTGTATAACGCCCGGGGGCTATGGAATGACAATTTTATGTTTATGAACTGGAATTGAACTGTGATGTAGACAGTTCTTTTGTGCCGAATTTCGACGATTCTTGCACGTGCTCGCGTATATGGTGAGGAGGACCATCGTCATGCCACGTTGCATGCAAACAGTCATAAGTTGCCTGCGTCACAGGTTGTCACGTTCTGTCAAATCGTGGTGGCAAGTGGCAACCTCGACGGGAATCAAGCTCGTACAGTATCGTGGTGGCAAGTGGCAACCTCCCATGAGCCTCGTACAGTATCAGGCTCGCAACATTCGCCTGATACTCGGGAATTCCAGGCATGGTAACAGTTCTACACGACATTGAACCACTTTGCGTCGAGCATGCACTGCTCAGTGACGCGCGAGTCTGATAAGAGACACTCTGATAAGAGGCAAAATCTACAGAAATCCATTGAAAATGAACCAGGGGGGTGGTATATAGGTTTCATGCCAAAAACTAGGGTGGTATGAATATCCAGTTTAATAAAGCACCCAGGTCCGCCCAAACCACCCATGGGTGATTAATTCCGGCGGGTGTTTTATCCGGGGGAATACGGTAGGACAACTCTGGGTTGCCCAACTTGGCCGAGTTGCGCAACTAGAACCGCCTAACAATCCAGCTTGCGCATATCAGGGTGTGGTACACCTCATATTACGAGGGTATCTTCAAACGGAAGTTCGGACTTTTATAGCGGTTGTAGACGTTTCTTACAGATTTCAGTCACTAACCACTCCGCTAAAAGGGCTTTGTCAATAGTGGGTCAGTGCGCCCATAGCCCCCACAGGCTCTGCACCTATGGCCCTTCTTCGAGGATCTTCTCAAGGGTAATTCCAGCGTGTCTCTCGACAACCCCCATCGTTGGGATAGGCTAAGGACAGGAGTGCCTCTGCAACGCTAGCACTGGGAATTGAACCCGAGTCACCAACGCTCTGATAGCATGTCAGAACTCAACCACTAACCACTGAGTTAAAAGGGCTTGTTAACAATGGGTCAGTGTGCCCATAGCCTCCCAGGCTCTGCAGTTGTGGCTGTTCCTCGAGGATCTTCTCAAGGGTAACCCCAGTGGGTCTCTTGACATTTTTGGCTGTTTTCAAAACGATAAAGTACGCTCGATAAGTCTCGCACCTCACTTGATTCGAGATGTACCACGCCCTGGAAAAAATTCACACGTCTGCTGTGCGTGGTGGTTTTGCTGCCTAGGGCGTTGTGGCGCTGTTCTTCACAAACAGAAAAACCTTCGCCAAACCTTCCCTAGTCAATCAGGGACCTCCTTGCAAACAAAAGCGCGTCACAAAATCGTGTCACACACAAAACCACCAGGCAAGCACCAGATTGCGCCCAGCGGCAAACGCGCTAGGGGCAATGAAACCAAATAACAGACACGAACAATGGCAAAAGCGCTGCTAAAAAACAGGCACCCGACTCCGCACAGATACAGTATGTGTCGCCTTTCGCACGGTATATGCGAGCCAGAATCTTCCCAACTCTACATCCATTCGCGCTTAGCATCGCCAGTTACTAGTACCACAGTGAGTCGATTTTGCACAGCGTGAAAGACGCAAACCGAAGCCAGAGACTAGGGGTTCGAGAGTTGCGGGTAGGAGAGAGAGAGAAACGTGTTCCCGTGCCCCTGCCTGTACCCACCTAGAAGATCTAGCGGATGGGAGGAGCGGAATGTGGAAGGGAGAGGAGAGGCGCAGAAGGGAGGAGAGAGGTGCGGAAGGAAGGAGAGAGGTGCGGAAGGGAGGAGAGAGGCTGAGATGGGGCGGACCCATGGGTGCCAAAGCCACGAAGAGTGCTGTGTCTCTCATATCCCCCCCATACCATTCCCTTGTTCCCACAACTCCCTACCCTCATTCCCCCATCCCATATTCCCCCCACTACCTTCCCTGATTCCTCCCAGTCCCTTCCCTTATCTCCCCCCACTCCATATCTTTATTCCCTCCCCCTACTCTCATCCCTTATCCCCCCTACTCCCATCCCTTATTCCGCCTAACTTCCCCCCTGATCTGCCATGCTCCCCCTTCATATCCCCCCCCCTCCCCCCCATCTGCCTAGCTCCCCCCTGTTTTGCCATGCTCCCCCCTCATTCGATATCCCGCCCATAATCTGCCATGCTCTCCCATCCGTCTGCCATGTGATCCCCCTCCCTACACCTCCCCTATGCTCCCCCTTCCTTTCCTCCCCCCTGTCCCTCACCTTTCCTCTGCTCCCCCTTCCTTTCCTCCCCCCTGTCCCTCACCCTTCCTTTGCTCCCCCTTCCTGTCCTCCCCCCTGTCCCTCACCTTTCCTCTGCTCCCCCTTCCTTTCCTCCCCCCTGTCCCTCACCTTTCCTCTGCTCCCCCTTCCTTTCCTCCCCCCTGTCCCTCACCTTTCCTCTGCTCCCCCTTCCTTTCCTCCCCCCTGTCCCTCACCTTTCCTCTGCTCCCCCTCCCTGTCCTCCCCCCTGTCCCTCACCTTTTCTCTGCTCCCCCTTCCTTTCCTCCCCCCTGTCCCTCACCTTTCCTCTGCTCCCCCTTCCTGTCCTCCCCCCTATCCCTCACCTTTCCTCTGCTCCCCCTTCCTTTCCTCCCCCCTGTCCCTCACCTTTCCTCTGCTCCCCCTTCCTTTCCTCCCTCCTGTCCCTCACCTTTCCTCTGCTCCCCCTTCCTGTCCTCCCCCCTGTCCCTCACCTTTGGGAGCAGGATGATGCACGCATTGAGCTGGCTATGAGAGTGAAGCTGAGTCCCCAGCATTAGAAGGCTGGACCGACGCGACCGCTGGAAACAGGGCTATCCTAGATCGGCTTGCGAACTGCGCTAGGAAATGCAACGCCATGGCTCCGTTTTGTGAACAAAAAGGTTTTCTACCAGTCCCAAATTACAACCAACGCTTTATCCCCTTGCCCATACCTCTGCTCGGAGTTTGCGCTGGGTTCATGAAAAGCGTATTTTCACATCGTCCAATCACATGCCTCCCTTTTCCATGCTCGCCCCCTTTGTTCACTGTTCCCAATTTGTACAGGGTAACCGCTCAGGCCCCTTCCAAAATTGTTAACAAAACAGCAGGTGCCTTGTAACTTGGGACCTGGGCTTTAAAACTATGGTAAGAGTACAATCTAGTGCAGTTGGTAAGGTGCTTGCATTTCAGAGCAGTTCGGCTTCGGTCTAGAACGGTGAGTGTGTCAAAAAAATGTTCACAAGACACGCAAAAGTGTTATAGAAGCATTGCATGCGCCTCAAGAAACCGTACAACAGGATTCCGTTGCCAGGACTTAAACCCGGATCTTTCGGGTGAGAGCCGAATATCCTAACCGACTAGACTACAACGGATATGTTTCGAATATGTAAAATTATTTTGACCTTAAAAAAAGCTCAACCCTGTGAGAACCTCGATTGGCGAGGTGCAGCAACTCGAGCAGCCATGGCGGGGATGGGCGACGGGTACGTGGGGACGGCGGCGGACGGGGCGCGGATTCGGCGGCTGGAGAAGCAGCGGGAGGAGGAGCAGGCCAAGATGGAGGAATTACGGAAGAAGTCGTCGCAGGGCCTCCAGGGGCTGCTGCAGTTCGGGACCGCCACGTCAGAGGTGCGCCACCCGACGACGGTTACCGACGACAGTGGTGTTCGTCCAGCCGGCCCTAATTTGGAACTCCCTGGCGAGCTCAGGCGTCATAGCTAGCGCTCGATAGTAACGCGCCGTTACTGTCCCGAGACGACCGGAGGCTTTCGCCACGAGACGTCGCAGAATACGGCAAGGGCTTTCGTGACGTGTCGTAAGGGGTCGAAGACAGCAGATTTCCGGGGGTGACGGAGCCCGTGCTGCTTTCCTTGTCCCTGCAGCCCGTAACGCACACTGCGTTGCGCTGCTAGGCGCGTGCGCGCATCACCGCGTGCCCTCTCCTCTTCCATCCACTGCCATTCTGCACCCCGCACGCCTTCCCCTTGCCAAGCCTCCGTCTTTTCCCGAAACACCATCTCCGCTCCTCTCTGGCCCTCTTCCCCCCCCCTCCCTCCCCCTCTCCCTCGGCCTCCCACTCACTCTCCCCTCCCTCTTCCCCCCCTCCCCCGCACCCCGCCTTCTCCCTCCCCCCTAGACGTTCGAGATGGCGTTCAAGAAGCGCACGGGGGGGTGCCGTCTGTTCCTCAGAGCTTCCAGCCACCAAAGAGGTTTCTCTCGTCCCCCCTCCTCCCCCCTCCCCCCCTCCCAGCCGACGCTGGAGACGGCGTTCAAGAAGCAGACGGTGGGGCTGCAGGTTGGTTCCTAAGTAGCAGAGTGGAACTTCTCTTACTCTCCCACCTCCCCCCCCCCCAGACGCTGGAGACGGCGTTCAAGAAGCAGACGGTGGGGCTCGTCACGCGCGAGCAATTCGTCGAGAAGGTGGGGCTCGCCCGGGGCTGCCGTCCCAGGGGGGGACTGGGGAAGCTGTGGGGCTTGTGGGCCGGGGGGCTTGTGGGCCGGGGGGCTTGTGGCCCGTGGGGCTTATGGGCTGTAGGGCTTGTGGGCCATGGGCGGGCTGTGGGGCGTTGAGGCCTGCAGAACGGGGAATGTATGCATGGGGGTATGTCGAGATTGGCTCCATTTGCAGGGTAGCGGAGCGTTGCTTCATTCCGGAGATGCTTTGCTGCTAGCACGCAGCTATGGCTTCCCGCTGTGCCGTGTGAATGCACGGGCAATGCAGGTGTCATGGCATTGGACCGCTGCTGATTAGCTGAATTGATAATCTTTGAGGAATTTGCATTGCTTGGAACACATGGCATGGTATGGTTTGGTATGGTATGGTATGGTATAGTGTGGTATGATGTGGTATGGTGTGGTGTGGTGTGGTATGGTATTCTATGGTGCGGTATTCCACGACATGGCATGGCATGATGGCATGGGTATGATGGCATGGGCATGATGGCATGGCATGATGGCATGGGCATGATGGCATGGGCATGGCGCAGAGGGCAACGCTCCGCAGCAAGATGGAGGAGGAGGAGCGCGAGGCCAAGCAGCGACAGGCGGAGGAGTGAGTGGCGCGAGGGGGAGGGAGGGAGCCGATGGGTGATGAATAGAAGAGGGAAGGATTCGCTGTAATGTCACACACACCTGATTGATCAAATCCCCTTCTGCGTGCATTGCCAATCTTCGTTGTTATCACGTGCTTCTCTTTTCACATGCCTGTGCTCGTGCATGCCTACACTACCACATGGAGGTATAATCACATCCCTCTATTTCCACACATCCCGTCACCACACCGGCAGTGAGGAGGAGAAGCAGATGGAGAAGCGGCGCCGGAGAAGGGCAGTCGCACCCACTGCCAAGCTGTCGTTCCTCGATGAGCTGGAGGAGGAGGAGGAAGGGGAGGGGGAGGATGGGGAAGATGGGGAGAAGGGGAGAGAGCAAGAGGCACGAGGTAAGGAAGGGGTGTGGTGTGAGAGCAGAGGATGAAGGGGGAGAGCAGCAGCGCCCGCTGCAAAGCTCTCGTTCCTAGATGAGGAGGAGAGGGAGAGGGGGGGGTTAAGAAGAGGGGGATGGGGTTCCAGGGAAGGAGATGGGGAGGGAGCAAGAGGCAAGAGGTAAGGGGGTGTGAGCAGAGATGGTATTGAAACATTGCTCCCGATCTTCCACTCTCCCTCTCTCTCCCTCACAATGTCGTCTCATCTCGTTCTCTCTTCTCTCTCCCCTTTCCGCCCCCGTATGTCCCCCAATCTCCCCCCCTTTCCGCCCCCATGTGTCCCCCAATCTCCCCCCCTTTCCGCCCCCATGTGTCCCCCAATCTCCCCCCCTTTCCGCCCCCATGTGTCCCCCAATCTCCCCCCCTTTCCCCTCGTATCTCTGAGCGCGCAGCAGAGAACGGGAGCAGCAAGCATGGCAGGGAGGCAGCAGGGGCGGCGCGGAAGAAAGCAAAAATGAGCAAGTTTGGGAAAGACCCCTCTGTGGAAACGAGCTTTCTACCAGACAGGTAGTTACGGGGCAGGTGGCTACTGAGTGGGCAGTTACCGAATGGAAGCGGGTCAGAATGAGCCAGTTTGTGAAGGACCCGTCAGTGGAGACAAGCTTTCTGTACTGCACAGGTGGTTACTGGGCCGGTGGTTATTGGATAGGTGGTTACCGACCATACCAATGGTTACCGTGCATGTGGTGACTGGGCAAGTGGTAACCACCCAGGTGGATACCGGACAGCTGATTACCGGACAAATGGTAATTGGACAGGCGGTTACTAGACAGGCGACTGTGGTTTCCCAGACAGGTGGTTACTGGACGGATGCGATTTTTGCTTGTTCTTTGACGCGAGTTACGCGCTACTGCCGCCTTATGCAGAGGGGCAGCCACGCAGTGATCATACATGCATGCATGCGGACGTCCTGAGAGGCGGTCAAGCAGAGGGTACGATGACCGCACCTGTGAGCGCACAGATGTCACGGATCCCACACTTTGGGCAGGTATGTTTTTTAGTCGACTCAAAACACAGCCTCTCCGGGGGCTCATCCAGCGCCCTGCAATCCCGTGTGTGTTCCCCCTCACCCCCTTCTGATTGCTCCACCCACTCCAGCCCACAACGCCTCTTCTTCCCCCTTCCATACGCGCCCCCCTGGCCCTTCCCCTGGCGTATCCCCTCGTTGCAGGGACCACGAGGTGCAGGAGATGGCAGAGAGGCTGCGGCTGACTGCGAGCGCGTGGAATGAGAACGCCACTCACGGCCCGGTGCCTAGGGTTGAGGCGCCTCAAAATCCGCGTGATAGGAGTCTAGTTTTGAGGCGCCTCAAAACTGCGAGCGCGTGGAATGAGAACACCACTTGCGGCCCGGTGCCCTTGTGCCGCACAAACCCCCTTTCGTGACACACCTTCCCCTCACCCCCTCTCCCCCCCTCCACTCAGGGACCGAGAGGCACAGGAGACAGCAGAGAGGGAGAGGCTGGCCAAGCAGTGGATGGCAGAGCAGGAGAGGATAAAGAGTGAGTCCATAAGGGGGATAATGAGGAGGTGTATGAGGGAGATACTGAGTGAGTCTATAAGGGGGATGCAGTGTGTCATGTTGTGTTGCGTCACTCACAACTAAGCTATGTATTCACATTCGTCTTATCTCCTTCAACCCATCCCCACACCTCTCCCTGCCATGCCCCATCCCACTGCCTGCCCTCCGGCCAATCAGACGAGCCGTTGGAGATCACTTACAGTTACTGGGACGGCGCGGGACACAGACGAGTCATCAAGGTGAGGCGCGCAGTCTACAACTGCTTTTTTCCTAATAGCACATGGTTAACACATGACACTCTGGCATGACAGGCTCGTATTTCTATGACACATGATTTTAACACATGGCATGTCACTTGGTTTGACACATGGAATGGGTGCTTGAGCTCGCCATTCCCTCACACTCCCCTCCGCGCATCGCCCTCTCCTCCACCTCTCCTCCACCTCTCCTCCACCTCTCCAAGCCTCAAGGTGAATGGACCCAGCATTTCTTCCTGCTCCTCCCCTCCCCCATGCCGTGTGCTTCCCCCACCCTCAGGTGCGCAGGGGCGAGAGCAAGGCTGACTTCTGAGAGCCCTGCAGCTGCAGCTGGCAGCAGATTAGCTGCTGTCTCCCTTTCTCCCTCTCTCCCCCACGCGCGCACACACTCATACACCCGCAGGTGCGCAAGGGCGACAGCATAGCGGACTTCCTGAGAGCCGTGCAGCAGCAGCTGGCGCCGGACTTCAGGGAGGTGCGGTCGGCGTCGGTGGAGGGTCTCGTGTATGTCAAGGAGGATCTCATCATCCCGCACGTGAGTGCAAGGAGGATCTCATCATCCCGCACGTGAGTGCAAGATACTGTGTGCTGGGCGGGGCTTGTTGATGTGAGCGATCCATTGCGTTTCAGGCGCCTCACCGCCTCAAGAGCCATTTGCAGTCCTTGACTGTACTGTACTGTACTGTCCCTTGTTGACTGACAATCGACTGCACGCGCCCTCTCTCCCCGACAATCCGCCTTCTACTACCTCATCATGAGCGAAGCCTCTTCTCTCGACCCTTTCCCCCTCCTCTCCTGCCCCCCTCCTCCCTTTCTGTTGCCGTCCCTGTGCCCACCCCCCCCTAGACATGATCAAAACGCGATTGCGATTTAAATCGCATCGCATGCAGGTGCGATGTTTAAAAAAGCGATGCGATTTTAAATCGCATCGCGCGATTTATTTTTCCAAAAAAAAAAAATCGCACATCGCATTTTACCCGCGATGTATTAAAAAACCGCATGCGATATTGAATTAAATCGCGCAATTCGATTATAAATCGCATCGCGTTTTAAAACAGAATTAAAAAACACCCCAAAAAAACAGAAAAAAACCATGGCTACGGGGAAATTGACTCACGGGCAGTCGTAAGCTAGAGTGCAAATAACCAGTGTGGTTTCGTAGTGGGTTTCAGAGTGGGTTTCAGTGCAATATCGCGCGCGATTTTTTTTAAATCGCATATCGCATTTAAATCGCGTTTTTTAGCGCGATTAAAATGCGATTTAAATTAAATCGCGCGATATTAATTCATCGCATCTCGCGATGTTTAATTTTTTTTTTTAAAGCATCGCCATCGCAAAAACGCGATTAAATGCGATGCGATGCGATTTTTTTTGCCCATGTCTACCCCCCCCCAGCAATCCACCTTCTATGACTTTATGACCAGCAAAAAGGCCCCTCCACTCTCCAGCCCACTCTTGCCACTCTTGCCGTCATGCTGCATTCCCCCCCCCTCCCCCCCCTCCCAACTTGTGCGCCCCAGCAATACACCTTCTACGAGCTCATTATCAACAAGGCCAGGGGGAAGAGTGGACCGGTGAGGGCTTGTGCATGCATGTGCAGGGGGGGGCGGATGGGTCTGGATGGGGGCGGATGGGGGTGGGTGCAGGGGGAGGGGATGGGTGCAGGGGGAGGGGATGGGCGCAGGGGGAGGGGATAGGCGCAGGGGGAGGGGATGGGTACAGGGGGAGGGGAAGGGTACAGGGGGAGGGGATGGGTGCAGGGGGAGGGGATGGGTGCAGGGGGAGGGGATGGGTGCAGGGGGAGGGGATGGGGCGTGGATACAGTGAAGGGCACAGGGGTGGGGCGGGCTACTTGCATGCAGGTGGTTAAAACGTGGCGTTTATTCGTTGAGGTGAGCTCAGTCAGCTCACCGCTCCCGACACACACTGCACTGCACAAGTCCGCTTGCTATCTCTCTTTCCCTGCTCATGTGTGTGGTATATCGCTGATTCCTTCTTAAACCCCTGTCTGCCTCTCACCCTCCCTTCATGGTGCCTTGCCCCCCTCTGCCTTTCCCACTGCGTGCCTGTTTGTGTGCGTGCACATCCGCATGTGGTGTGCAGCTGTCCCACTTCGATGTGCCTCTCAGCCACTCTTCGTACCCTGCTCCCTCTGCCATTCCCACTGCCTGCCTGTTTGTGCGCATGCGCATGTGGTGCGCAGCTGTTCCACTTCGATGTGCACGATGACATCCGCACCACAGGGGATGCTACCATAGAGAAGGATGAGGTGAGGGAGGGAGCTGAGAGGGGGATCAGGCGATGGGGGAGGGGGGATGAGGTGAGGGAGCGAGGACAGAGGGGGATGAGGCGAGGGGGGAGGGGGATGAGGTGAGTACTAGGGTGTTGCATGATGACATCCTCACCATGGGGGACCCCTCTATAGAGAAGGTCGAGGTGTGAGAGTGTGCTGAGGGGTGCCTCTTGGGAGCGTAATAGAGGAGGAGGGCACCACGGGGTACTGGGGTGGAGGAGGAGGAGTACTGGGGTGTTGCACGATGACATCCGCACCACGGGGGATGCCACCACCGAGAAGGATGAGGTGAAAGTGTGATGTGAGGCCTGCCGCTTTGGGAGCAGAGAGGGAGATGGGTTGAACAGTAGGGTGTCACATGATGACATTTGCACCATGGCGAATGCCACCGTTGAGGGAGATGAGGTGAGTGTCGGGGTGAGAGAAAGATGAGGTGGGTATTGTCACTGCCTTTGTGAATCTTTATGCGTTTCCTGTGAATGGACGCCGCTAGCAGCCCATACATGTGTACTGCGTTCTTAGTGTCCTCTTTCTCCTCACCCATGCCCCATCCTCCTCTGTCCCCCTCCCCACCCCAGTCCCATGCAGGCAAGGTGGTGGAGAGGCACTGGAGAAGCACATCTTCTCGTTGCTCCATCCTCCCCCTTCCCCCCTTCCTGCCTTTATCCACTTCACCTCTGTCCCTCCCCCTCCCCACGCCAGTCCCATGCGGGCAAGGTGGTGGAGAGGCACTGGTACGACAAGAACAAGCACATCTTTCCAGCTTCTAGATGGGAGGTCAGTTGCTCCATGCCTGTTGCTGCTGCTTCTCCTGCTGCTGCTTCTGGTGCTGCTAGTATGCCTCACTTCCTCATCCTCCCCAGACTGCATTCATCCATCTATTCCCATGGTGTCCTTGTTGTGGCAGATATACGACCCGGCAAAGAAATGGGACCGATACACCATCCACGGCAACTGACACCAACCAATCCCGTACCTTCCAGTGCTCTCGTTTTCCTCTTCTACCGGCCATCATCGCACTCACGCCTGTACACTCCCATTATCCATTCACACTAACCTTGTTACACCTAGAAATGGAGACTGCTGCATTTATGGCAGAAACTAAACTACACTGCATGTCAATTGTGACCCATTAGAGTAACTTGTCCATACGTGGCTGCATTTGAAGCTGGTGTGTGGATTCCATTCCATTATCCTGACAGCCCAAGAGCGTCGCGGCTGATAGAGCATCTCCATGCCAAAATTTCACGATCCGAGCTCACAAGATGCGAGGATAGGAGCCAGATCTAGGGAAAAACGCCGCACCCATGTGTGGCACTAAGGGCACATTGTCTTGGTTGTGGGAGCTGCCAGCCAACCCACTTGGAAGTCACACTAGGGGCAGGGTGATGCCGACACACCGGATTGCCAGAGCAGCTACTATTTGAGGAAGGCAGCGGTGAAGCAAGGCTCGTTTGGTAGTGAGAGGTGCCTGCCGCCACGCGCATGCCTTATGGAAGTTACTCTGGAGAAAGGACGGTGCCAATGCAAAAATGTCAGTGCAGTGCTGCTTCGACTTGAGGAAGAAGGCAGTGACGAACCACACCTTTCTGTCCCGCACTGCTTCTGCCTGGGGATGCAAGGTGCTGTAGAGGATGCAAGGTGACTTATGAGGCGCCTCAGAATGCAAGGTGCTGTGGGTGCTCCAGAGGATGGGCTCTTCCCGTGCCTTTGCTGCTACGACTTGAGGAAGAAGGCAGTGATGAACCGCGCCTTCCTGTCCCGCACTGCTTCTGCCCTCTGCCGCTTCCTGGAGCCTTCTGCACCTGCACTCCCCCGACCTGGTGCTGAGTCAGCGTGAGGTCGAATGTTGCTGATCTGGCGAAGGCAGGTTATGGATGAGCCGATAAAGTCACTGCACAAATGGCCAGGGTGCATGACAGAGGGCAAACGAGGGCAGGCGATAGGGAAAGGGTGATCTGCAAGAGCTGGGCCTGGGTTATGCCTAAGGGGAGGGGATGCTTAGGCCCTCCCTCTAAATAGATCCTTCCGGGTCTTATTCTCGAATCCAATCCCACCCCCAACCCCTAACCCTCACCTGATCTTATCCGATGCCCGCACCGCCCCCGCCACGTCCGCCTGGTTGACAGTCAGGCGGCGGGCCGACCGTGTGCGGGTGAACGCTGCAGCCGCCAGGCTCTCGAGGAAGAGCTGGGCGGCGGAGGCAACGAGCAGGGCGGCGTCGGAGGATACCTGGCGCACCTCGTCGTCCGCGTGCATGATGCGCTTCACACACGCCACCGGTATCAATGCGCCTGCTGCGCCTGCTGCTACTGGTTCTCTTGCTCCTGGCATCTCCCCTGCTACGGGTGTGTCCGTCGTCACAGCTCCTTCCGCTGCTGCAGCGACCTCAGCTCTCCTCTTTCCGCCCTTTGCTTCTGCTGTTTGTGATTTGTGGCCTCTTACTTTTGCTCCCTTCCCTTCGTCCGCTGACCCCCCGCCTGTTTTCTCTCCTCTTCTCTCCTTTCCTGTTCCGTCTGCCACATCCCCTTCCTCCCCTTCTTGCCCCCCCTCCTCTCCTCCGCTCTTTTGCAAATCCACTCCGCCTGCCGTCTCATCACCATCACCAGCCCCTCCCCCTTCCCCCTGACCGCGAGCTTCTCTATCCCCCTCACCCGCACCCCCCCCTTCACCCGATCTCCCCCTTTCATCCCCACCTCCTTCCTCATCCGCGCCATCCCTGCAAGGTCGCCCTTCACCAAATAGCCCCGCTGCTCCCCCCTCCCCTCCGCCGCCCATCCCCGCCTCCCCCTGGCCCTCCGCCCCCCCCGCTTCCCCTTTAGAAGTGCGCCCCGACAACTTGCCTGTATTGACCTCCCCGTTAACGCCTGCCGGCTCCGTTAGCCTTTCCGTTCCGTCCGCCGCTTGCTCAACTGCTTCCGCCGCTTCCGCCACGTCTTCCGCGACATCACCTGCTTCGCCCTCGTCCTCCTCGGAGTGAATGCTCGCCTCGTCATCGTCATCAGCCCTATCGCGATGTGCCTCGTCCGGTTCCTCTTCCTCCTCCTCTTCCTCCCCCTCTCCCTCCATCCCTTCCTCCTCCACCTCTTGCGCCGCCATACCTCCCAGTACCTCAATCCCCCCACCCCCCCCACCGCCAATGGAACCTCCCGCATCCTCCATATCGCCATCCATGTCGGCTGCATCTTCGTCAGCGTCGTTAGCATCGCCGACGGCGTCAGTTGACGAATCAGAATCGTCGCCATCGTCGTCGCTAGCGTCGCCGACGTCATTATCGTCGTCCAGATAGCCGTCCGCCATGCTGTCATCCATCAAAGCCACGCGCTCAGATGTTTCTTCCACGGCAGCGCGTTTTACCTCTGGTTCCCCGCACCGCATTCCGCCGGGTGGTATCGCGTCATGCCCAGCCTCCATTTCCTAATAAACAACGATTTCTTTTCTCACCAAGATTGCACCGAGCAGACGAAAATACCACTGCTGTAGCTTACCCACGTGTATATTTGCGACTCGACGCTTGAGAGGAGAAACTTAAAACAGCGAACAGGTCGTTGTGATGAGGATGAGTTGAAACATGTGCAGAGGCCCAACATGTTGCCGAAATTCAAATCAACCCCGATCATATGAGCAGAGGTGAAGTGGCTGAGAATACCCTGGTCTGATATGGTATAGTATGGTGCTGTGCGTTGCAGTCTGCTGAAGATTCCAAATGATCCTCACCGTCAATCTTCCTGAAGTCTGAGATCGTCGAGTCGAAGGAATGCGCAGTTCATTTTGAGATGTTACCGCTAAGGGCGTGTTCAGGGTTTGTTCGAACGGGCACTACCCTGAAGCACACTGTATCTTACTAACCAGCAGTACCGTGTTCAGCCATTTCCGAGAGCCCGTTCAAACGGCATGTTTGCAGCCGATGTCACATGCATTTCGAACGTGTCCACAGTGGGATGTCGACTATTGATCGGAATGAATCGATGGTCGACATCCGACAACATTCCTCAACAACTCATGACATCCCACTTTGGACACGCTCTTCGCACTGCAGCTCAGGGAAAGTTACATTAGGCTCAAGCTGGGAAGAAAACCGAGCCCTCGGCTCAGTGATGGGCGAATAATGTGGAATTTCGGCATTTTTGCACAAAGCTGAGCTCCAGGTTCGGTTTTCTGCCTAACTTGTCCCCAATGTTCTGACATGAGCCTGGATTATTCTTTCATGCTCAACGCACAACAGGGAACACTCTCCTTGAAATCATCGATTTCATGATCATGATGATCACCATTGGCATCCCATCCAGCCAGCCTTCCCCACACACATGCCCTCATCCCATCCATCCATCCATCCCTCCCCTCCCTCCCTCTCCTTCCACCACCCTCCCTCGAGATGTTTCCTAGCTAAAACGTGCCGACCATAAGAGCGCTTTCCCTGTGGCCCTTAGTCTGACGCCCGCAGCGTGTGGCCATTGAGACGATGCGAATTGGCCGTACGCTTCCCGCGCACGAGCCCAGAGGCAAGTTCTTTATGATGTAAAAGGTGATTCGTTATTGAGAAGACAGCAGCTGGTGTGACTTATCGAATACCAGATCGTAATAACAGGCTAGCCACGTAACGGGAAGTAGCCATGGCCGCTGACGGCACAGTTGCCGAAGCGACTGGTCGGTAATAAGGTTGTCTCATGAAGCTTCCGGTCTGGCCGATATCGTGGAGCCACCTGCAGGCTCTTTGAACGACTCATTACTACAGGGCGACTCGTTACGGAACAAGTCGTTACAAGACGACTCGTTACAGGACGCGTCCGCGTCACAGATGGCCGAACACGAAGCGAGCAAGGAGGCCGAGGTGGAGAAGCATTTGGCTGAAATGGCAGAAGCAGCAGAGCTGGAGGGAAGATTGGACATGGCGGAAGGCCCAGAGGCGAACGAGATTCGCGCGGGTCTTTTTTACCCACGCAATTCACAAACGCACGATTCAGAAGCGCACGCTGTAGACGGACGCCGTGAAGAAGCGCAGGACGGCACGGAAGGCTCGGACCAGCGGGTCGAAGACGGGGACGCGCAGGGAGCGGGCAACGGACACGAGAGACATCACGAGGACGAATTTGATAGACACAACGACGGAACGATCAGCCTGCGCACGCGAGCGCGGCTGTCGCTGGCGCAGACCCCGATCGAGGACCTGGAGGTGATGCTAGCGAGGGTGCCTCTAGAGGGGGAGGAGGGGGAGGAGGAGGAGTTTGTGTTCCCGATAGATGATGACGACGAGGAGTACCAGCGGTTCCTGTCCGCCGTGCTCTTCCCAGACTCGCCCTGTGCGAGTGACCACGAGGGGGACGAGGGGGACGGGGAGGGGGATGATGATGGGGAGGAGGAGGAGGGGGAAGAGGAGGGGGAGGAGGAGGGGGGGGAGGGAAGAAGGGAGGGTGGAGAAGAGGAGGTGGAGGAGGAGGGGGACTGTGATGCACGAAAAGGGGAGGGGGGGGTTGAGGGAGAGGAGGAAGATGAGGGAGATGAGGAGAGGGTGGAAGGAGCAGCAGCGGAAGGGATGGGAGGGGAGCAGGAAACAGAGGAGGTTGGTGTAGGAGGGGGAGAGGGGGAAGGGGTGCAGGGAGAGGGCGGGGATGAAGAGGAGGAGGAGGACGACGACGACGACGAGGAGGACGAGGAGGATATGGATTTCAATATCGACGACCTGTTGTTGCTGGAGGGGGATGAGGAGTTTCTAATGGACGATGACTTACTGGATCTACAGGACTTCGTTGTAGACGAGGAGGACCTGGACAGAGGGCTTCTAGCGGGGCTGGAGGATGAGCTTATAGCGGAGATGCAGGCTAAGGCTGATGCTGAAGCGGCTGCAGAGGCCGCTGCCAGGGCGGAGGAGGAGGAAGCAGTGGAGGCGGAAAATGAGGAGGGGGAGGGGGAGGAAGGGAGGGGGAGATCTAAGAGGCGCAAGTACCGCCATGGGGAGGCACAGACAGGGGATGGGGGGCTGGGGAGCGGAGAGATGGGAGGCTTGCAGGAGGGAAGGAGGGAGCAGCAAGCAGCAGCAGCGGTTGGGTGTGAGGCAGAGGCCCCACAGCTCCACCACCAGCACTCTGCTGCTGCTGCTGCTGTGTCCACGGGTAATGGCCAGGAGCCAGCCAATGAGCAGCTGCCACCTGTGCAGGGAGCTGGTGGAGGGGGCAGGGGATGGGCAGGTGAGGCGGGTAGTGATGGGGTGGGGGTGCGGAGGTCTAAGCGGTCGACAGCGGGAGTGTCGAGGAGGAGAGGCAAGGGGAGGGAGGGGGGGAGGAAGGAAGGCGAGGGGGCGAGGAAGGACGGCGAGGGGGCGAGGAAGGAAGGCGAGGAAGAGGGTTCCAAGAGGAGGCAGAGGGCAAAGAAGGGGGCAGGTGCAGCGAGAAAGAAGCAAGGTGGGGCGATGAAGCATGGGGGTCGGGTAAGGGAAGAGGGCCACGGTGATATAGCAGTGGGTGGAGCCGCCATTGCAGGGGAAGTTAGTAGTGCTGAGGGGGCGGCTACTGGTTCAGCTACTCAGGCCGCTGCTGCTGCTGGCCCATCAGCCTTACCTTCTGCTGGTGACTGCAGCGGTGGCGGGGGGGCGTCGCCCCAAGCAATCAGCGCAGCGGTACCGTGTGGGATGGGACACGGCCGGCGCAAGGGCTCTGCGTCCGCACCAATTGCCACAGGCAATCCCGGTGCCACGGACGCTGGGTCTGGCATGGGGGGGAGTGGTGGAGCACCGGCAGGGAGGAGACAGGCAAGCAGGAAGGGGCGCTTAGGCAGAACTGCTGTTGCTGAGGCTCCAGAGGGTGCTGATGGTGCTGGGTCCACTGAGGCTGCTGCTGCTGCTGCTGTTTCTGCTGCTGCGGCGGCGGCTGTTTCTGCTGCTGCTGCTCCTGTGACTGTTGTTCCTATTGCCGGGTCTATGCCTCCCACTCGCCTCCTCCTCATCGCCCCTCTCCCCGGCATGCACTCGTTTGTGCCACTCCCCCCTCTCCCACGCTCCGCTTACCCCTTTTCTTCTCACCCAATCGCACGCATCGCCCCCCGCCCTATCCCCCCCGCGTTCGCGCCACATCAGCGCGCCCAGCTGGCGGCCTTGCTGGCGTGTCACGTCCAGCTGGCAGTCCAGGTGTATGCAGCGTGTGTGCTGGACCCCTCTCTCCCCCAGGTGGCAACAGTCCTCAGGGGATTGCTGGGGCAGCTGGCGCAGTGGGGGGGAGGTTTTGCAGGGGGAGGTAGTACCGAGTCAGACGACGCTAGAGGAATTGTGAGGAGTGTAGCTGGTGCTGATTCCTCTGGGGTTAGGGTACCAGCCTCTCCCCCCTCCCGCCTGGAAGCTCAGGGCTCTGCCACTGCCTTGGCCTCCGACGCTGCTGCTGCCGCTGGTGCTGCTGCTGCTGCTGCTGCTGCTGCTGCTGCTGCTGCTGCTGCTGTGGACGGCACTGGTGGTGACCGCGGTGGTGCTGGCACTGTTGGCGGGCACAGTGTTGCGAGGCCAGCATCACGGCTGGCAGAAGCCATTCCCAGCCTCAAGCTTCTTCCCTCCTTCTTGCTCTCCATTGACAAAGGTAGCAGTGGGCATGGGGGCATGGGGGCATGGGGGCATGGGGGCATGGGGGCAGGGAGTGAGTGTGCATAAGCAGTGGGGTTTGTCGTGTGAAAGGCACTGTCTGCTGTGCTCACACCTTGTGTGTGTGTTTACATTTTGTGATTGTCCCCCCTTCCAGTTCTCCAGGAGCAATCTATGAAGTCGCAACAGACATGCATGGGAACTGTAGCAGCAGAAACACCACCGCTAGGAGCAGCACCAGCAGCGCCATCAACAGCAGCGGCAACAGCAGAAAGAGCATCGTCGACATCATCGGCAGCAACACAGCCACCATCGTTCTCGGCAGACATGGCGGCAGCTGCTAAAACACCACAAGCAACACAAGCACCACAAGCAACTGCAGCGGCACAGCTGTCAGCGCTTCCGCCACCGCCCGCTGCAGCTGAAGCAGCTGCTGCTGTGCCATCCCCAGCACGCCCACCACATCCGTTGCCACTAGCAGCAGCAGCAGCAGCAGCAGCAGCAGCAGCAGCAACAGTAGCAGCACCATCAGCATCATTACCTGCAGCACAAGCACCAGAAGCACATGCAGCAGCAGCACAAGCAGCAGCACAAGCAGCAGCACCAGCTGCTGAACCGTCTCTAGAGCGGCCACCACACCCATCGCCGCTCGCAGCAGCAGCACCCAGGGCAGCTGTGGCCCACGCTTCGACTCAAGACGCATCAGAGCCCAACGCCACAGTGGATGAACCACCCGCACCCGTAGCACCCAGCGTTGCCCCACGTCCATCTGGGTCAGCACCATTTGTTGCTGGCCCGAGCGTTCTTGCGGCTGATAGAGGAGATGCTGAGAGGTGCAGGGGGGCTGAGGGGCCTGGTGAAGGAAGGGGAGGGGTTGAGGGAGAGGGCATGGGTAGGGAAGTTGAGAGGCGCCTGACCAATGCACAGCAGGAGCAGCAGGAGGAGCATACCCAGCTGCGGCAGCAGCAGCAGCAACAAGAGTTGCTGGCACAGGAAGATCAGCAGCAGCCCCGGCCACAGCACGAACAACATCTATTTTCGAAAGAGCGCCATAGTAATTATCATCATCATCATCAGCAGCAGCAGCAGCAGCAGCAGCAACAACAACAACAAGTGAGAGTGAAGAAGAGAAAGAGGAAGAGGAAGTGGCTGCCAATGTTCCCAACACCCTCCACCATCCTCCCCCTCAACCCCTCCACCCCTTCCCCCCCCCACAAGGCTCCTCGCTTGCACGTCACCAAAGGCCCTGCTTCTGGATGCCGAGGGGAGAAGGAGCGCAAGCATGAGGGGGGAGAGCAGGAGCGGGGAGAGCAGGACGCAGGAGAGGAGGAGCAGGGAGAGGAGGAGGCGGAGGGAGCGGCTGTGGGGGGAGCGGAGGAGGAGGGGCGGAGGGCGGGGGTGGGCGAGGTGGTGCGGGTGCCGGGCGAGGTGGCGGCGGTGCTGCAGCCGTTCGCAGCCTTGTTTGACGCATCGCTCTTCCCTGTGGTGCGCCCGCCTCTGCAGCACCGCACCATCTTCTCCCCCACAGAGGACAGGTGGGTGCGTGCTGGGTGCGTGCTGGGTGCGTGCTGGGTGCATGCTGGGTACGTGCTGGGTGCGTGCTGGGTGCTTGCTGGGTGCTAGCTGGGTGCTTGCTGGGTGCGTGCTGGGTGCATGCTGGGTGCGTGCTGGTTGCGTGCTGGGTGCTTTCTGGGGGCTTGCTGGGTGCGTGTTGGGTGCGTGCTGGGTGCGTGCTGGGTGCGTGCTGGTTGCGTGCTGGGTGCTTGCTGGGTGCGTGCTGGGTGCATGCTGGGTGCGTGCTGGTTGCGTGCTGGGTGCTTTCTGGGGGCTTGCTGGGTGCGTGCTGGGTGCGTGCTGGGTGCGTGCTGGGTGCATGCTGGGTGCGTGCTGTGTGCGTGCTGGATGCATGCTGGGTGCGTGCTGGGTGCATGCTGGGTGCGTGCTGGGTGCATGCTGGGTGCGTGCTGGGTGCGTGCTGGGTGCTTGCTGGGTGCGTGCTGGGTGCGTGCTGGGTGCGTGCTGGGTGCTTGCTGGGTGTGTGCTGGGTGCGTGCTGGGTGCGTGCTGGGTGCATGCTGGGTGCGCGCTGGGTGCGTGCTGGGTGCTTGCTGGGTGCTAGCTGGGTGCTTGCTGGGTGCGTGCTGGGTGCATGCTGGGTGCGTGCTGGTTGCGTGCTGGGTGCTTTCTGGGGGCTTGCTGGGTGCGTGCTGGGTGCGTGCTGGGTGCGTGCTGGGTGCATGCTGGGTGCGTGCTGTGTGCGTGCTGAATGCATGCTGGGTGCGTGCTGGGTGCATGCTGGGTGCGTGCTGGGTGCATGCTGGGTGCGTGCTGTGTGCGTGCTGGGTGCATGCTGGGTGCGTGCTGGGTGCATGCTGGGTGCGTGCTGGGTGCATGCTGGGTGCGTGCTGGGTGCGTGCTGGGTGCTTGCTGGGTGCGTGCTGGGTGCGTGCTGGGTGCGTGCTGGGTGCTTGCTGGGTGCGTGCTGGGTGCGTGCTGGGTGCGTGCTGGGTGCATGCTGGGTGCGTGCTGGGTGCGTGCTGGGTGCTTGCTGGGTGCTTGCTGGGTGCGTGCTGGGTGCATGCTGGGTGCGTGCTGGTTGCGTGCTGGGTGCTTTCTGGGGGCTTGCTGGGTGCGTGCTGGGTGCGTGCTGGGTGCGTGCTGGGTGCATGCTGGGTGCGTGCTGTGTGCGTGCTGGATGCATGCTGGGTGCGTGCTGGGTGCATGCTGGGTGCGTGCTGGGTGCATGCTGGGTGCGTGCTGTGTGCGTGCTGGATGCATGCTGGGTGCGTGCTGGGTGCATGCTGGGTGCGTGCTGGGTGCATGCTGGGTGCGTGCTGGGTGCGTGCTGGGTGCATGCTGGGTACGTGCTGGGTGCGTGCTGGGTGCTTGCTGGGTGCTAGCTGGGTGCTTGCTGGGTGCTTGCTGGGTGCGTGCTGGGTGCATGCTGGGTGCGTGCTGGTTGCGTGCTCGGTGCTTTCAGGGGGCTTGCTGGGTGCGTGCTGGGTGCGTGCTGGGTGCGTGCTGGGTGCGTGCTGGGTGCATGCTGTGTGCGTGCTGTGTGCGTGCTGGGTGCATGCTGTGTGCGTGCTGTGTGCGTGCTGGGTGCATGCTGTGTGCGTGCTGTGTGCGTGCTGTGTGCGTGCTGGGTGCGTGCTGGGTGCATGCTGCGTGCGTGCTGGGTGCATGCTGGGTGCGTGCTGTGTGCGTGCTGGATGCATGCTGGGTGCGTGCTGGGTGCATGCTGGGTGCGTGCTGGGTGCATGCTGGGTGCGTGCTGGGTGCGTGCTGGGTGCATGCTGGGTACGTGCTGGGTGCGTGCTGGATGCTTGCTGGGTGCTAGCTGGGTGCTTGCTGGGTGCTTGCTGGGTGCGTGCTGGGTGCATGCTGGGTGCGTGCTGGTTGCGTGCTCGGTGCTTTCAGGGGGCTTGCTGGGTGCGTGCTGGGTGCGTGCTGGGTGCGTGCTGGGTGCGTGCTGGGTGCATGCTGTGTGCGTGCTGTGTGCGTGCTGGGTGCATGCTGTGTGCGTGCTGTGTGCGTGCTGGGTGCATGCTGTGTGCGTGCTGTGTGCGTGCTGTGTGCGTGCTGGGTGCGTGCTGGGTGCATGCTGCGTGCGTGCTGGGTGCATGCTGGGTGCGTGCTGGGTGCGTGCTGGGTGCATGCTGGGTACGTGCTGGGTGCGTGCTGGGTGCTTGCTGGGTGCTAGCTGGGTGCTTGCTGGGTGCTTGCTGGGTGCGTGCTGGGTGCATGCTGGGTGCGTGCTGGTTGCGTGCTGGGTGCTTTCAGGGGGCTTGCTGGGTGCGTGCTGGGTGCGTGCTGGGTGCGTGCTGGGTGCGTGCTGGGTGCATGCTGTGTACGTGCTGTGTGCGTGCTGGGTGCATGCTGTGTGCGTGCTGTGTGCGTGCTGTGTGCGTGCTGGGTGCATGCTGTGTGCGTGCTGTGTGTGTGCTGGGTGCATGCTGTGTGCGTGCTGTGTGCGTGCTGGGTGCGTGCTGGGTGCATGCTGGGTGCTTGCTGGATGCGTCTCTGGCCAGTATGCCTTCATGGCATGGAGTGTGCTGCTTGCTTGCTCTCTTCCCTGTCGTGCGCCTGCCCCTGCAGCGCTGCACAATCCTCTCCCCCACCGAGGACAGGTGGGTGTGTCGGGGTGGGACCATCTCTGCCTCTGTGTGTATTCGTGACATGGTGGGTGAGAGCAGGTGCAAAGAAGACCAGTGGGTGCTTGGTGGTGCTTGGTGGTTGCTTGGTGGTGCTTGGTGGGTGCTTGGTGGGTGCTTGGTGGTGCTTGGTGGGTGCTTGGTGGTTGCTTGGTGGGTGCTTGGTGGTTGCTTGGTGGGTGCTTGGTGGTTGCTTGGTGGGTGCTTGGTGGTGCTTGGTGGTGCTTGGTGGTTGCTTGGTGGGTGCTTGGTGGGTGCTTGGTGGGTGCTTGGTGGTTGCTTGGTGGGTGCTTGGTGGTGCTTGGTGGTGCTTGGTGGTTGCTTGGTGGGTGCTTGGTGGGTGCTTGGTGGGTGCTTGGTGGTTGCTTGGTGGGTGCTTGGTGGGTGCTTGGTGGGTGCTTGGTGGTGCTTGGTGGTGCTTGGTGGGTGCTTGGTGGGTTCTTGGTGGGTGCTTGGTGGGTGCTTGGTGGGTGCTTGGTGGGTGCTTGGTGGTGCTTGGTGGGTGCTTGGTGGTGCTTGGTGGTGCTTGGTGGTTGCTTGGTGGTTGCTTGGTGGGTGCTTGGTGGTGCTTGGTGGTGCTTGGTGGTGCGTGGCGGTTGTTGGTGGTGCTTGGTGGGTGCTTCGTGGTGCTTCGTGGATGCTTGGTGGTGCTTGGTGGTGCTTGGTGGTGCTTGGTGGTGCTTGGTGGGTGCATTTCTAGCTGCACATGTGGCAGGTCGGTGAGTGGTTGTGTATGTGTGGCCCCATCGCTTCATCTTCCCCCCTCTTCTCTCTCATCACATGCCACCAGGCTGCTGGCCATGGGGTTGGAGCACCTGAGCACGGACTGGGAGGCCATTCACAGACGCTTCCTGCCTGGGAAGACGCCGCACCAGGTGGACTGGGTGGCTTTTCTGCATGTGTGCCTCGCGTGCCTTTCCCATGCCTGTGTTCCCCGTGTCATGCATGCTGTGGTCCCCGTGCCATGCATGCTGTGGTCCCCGTGCCATGCATGCTGTGGTCCCCGTGTCATGCATGCTGTGGTCCCCGTGCCATGCATGCTGTGGTCCCCGTGCCATGCATGCTGTGTTCCCCGTGTCATGCATGCTGTGGTCCCCGTGCCATGCATGCTGTGGTCCCCGTGCCATGCATGCTGTGTTCCCCGTGCCATGCATGCTGTGGTCCCCGTGCCATGCATGCTGTGGTCCCCGTGCCATGCATGCTGTGTTCCCCATGCCATGCATGCTGTGTTCCCCGTGTCATGCATGCTGTGGTCCCCGTGCCATGCATGCTGTGGTCCCCGTGCCATGCATGCTGTGGTCCCCGTGCCATGCATGCTGTGGTCCCCGTGCCATGCATGCTGTGGTCCCCGTGCCATGCATGCTGCCTCTGCCTCTGCCTCTGCCTCTGCCTCTGCCTCTACCTCTGCCTAACCCCCTTCATCCTCTCGTCATCCTCTCTTCTCCCGCGCTCTCCTCCCCATGCTCTTCTCTCACGGCCATGCGTCGCCCGGGGCATGCCCGGCTGTCAGATCTGCATTCGCTGGAAGAACCGGTGCTCCTCGCGGGTGCCCGACAACCCAATCAAGGTGCGCACGCTTCACGCTCATCCCATCAGCAACCAGGCAGCTTAGCTGCACCTACGGGCTGCACCTAGGGGCTGCAGCTATGTGTCCGCGTTTCCGTGTTTGTACATCTGTTTATCAGGGCGTTTGACGCCTGTATGCCTCTACGAGCCTACATTCCATCCATGCGTCTGTCTGTGTGTGTCTGTGTGCTTGTCTCTGCAGGAAGTGTGGCGGCGCAAGACTGCTCCCTTGACTGACGACGAGGTCGATAAGATACAAACGGTGCGTATGCATGCGGCTCCATGGCATCTCATAAGGCTGTCTCCTCTTGGTAGTTCACGTAGTATGTGCCTTGCATGCCTCAATGTGCCATGGCGCCATCATTGCATGCACCATCACGGCATGCACCATCATGGCGCTATGATGCAACTGCTATTCACCTTGGCTGTGCAACAGCTCCCGTGGCTGTGCTCAATGCACTGCTTCTCCCTCCCCCACATCAGGCCCTCGACGCATGGAAGCTGGACTGGCGCACCAGGAGCCTGGCTGTCATGCCTCACCGCATGCCTCTCATGCTTCCCTTGGGTTGGGTGTGCTGAATGCTCTGCTTCCCTCCCCTACATCAGGCCCTCAACGCATGGAAGCTGGACTGGCACGCCATGAGTCTGGCTGTGATGCCTCACCGCGACCCCAACCAGCTAAGGCGGCTGTACATGGAGGCGTGCTCTGCCAGGCGCCAGGCGCAGAGGGAGCAGCAGCGGGCGGAGCGCGAGCAGGTGATGCAGCGAGAAGAGCAGGCGCAGAGAGAGCAGCAGAGGGTGGAGGGAGAACGGGAGCAGGTGGAGAGGGGACAGCAGGTGGTTCAAAGGGAGCAAGAGGTGGAAGCAGAGCAGGTGCGACGGAATAGTGAGGGGGTTAGGGAGGGTGAGGGGGTGAGGGAGGTGGGGGGGAAAGGCGGGTGGGATGGGTGGATTAGAGGCACAGATGGTAGTGAAGGATGTGAGGAGAGAGGGAGAGAGGAGGAGGGGGCGGAGGGGATGGCGGATGAGACGAGGGGAATTGGTGGGCAGCAGTGCGAGGGAGTGGAGGGGGAGGGAGAGCAGCAGGAGCAGCAGGAGTTGCAGCAGCAGGAGTTGCAGCAGCAGGAGGAGCATGGAGGAGAGGATTACGAGAAGACTGCGGGAGGGGAGCAAGACTTAAGCAGGGCAGATGGCAGGAGCAGGGCGGAAGATAGAGGCGCTTGTTGTGAGGTGCGTGGGGCCATGGTTGAAGCAGCATGGCAGCACACGCCAGGGGAGCAACCAAGAGTTGCCGGGGCATCTAATGGCTGTGCACCAAATGGTATCACAGCATTCAGCAGCTCAAACGGCAGCACCAGAAGCAAGGCCACATGCCACATGGCATTCCAACAGCTGTTCCCCAACCAGCAGCACCTGCTGCAGCCTTCCCTGCAGTTATGCCCTTCCCAGGTGCCACCTGGTCGCCCCGACACTGTAGCCACGGCGATATCGTTGCTGAGTCAGCAACCGGACCTGAGGCTGACTCAGCGATCGCTGGAGCCTGTGGTGGAAGGCGCAAGTCCAGGCCATGGGGAGGTGGCAACTGGGGAAGGTTTATGTGGTGGGAGAGAAGTGAGTGGAAGAAAAGGGAATGGGAGAGCAGAGAGAGCAAGCGGTCCATCTGGGGCATTAGAGGGGGCTAGCATGTTCCTGAGATGGTCACTGTTGCAACCGGCAGTGTTACAACCGATGGTGTTACAACCAACAGTGTTACAACCGGCAGTGTTACAACCAACAGTGTTACAACCGACAGTGTTACAACCGACAGTGTTACAACCGACAGTGATACAGCCCATGTTGCTGCAAGCAAGGCCCTTGGTAGCAGTGAGCTCTGAGAACGCTGGAAAAGGTGAGACTGGGGATAGTGAGGAGGAGCAGGGTGAGCAAGAAGGGGAGGAGGAGGAGTTGGAAGGAGGCGGGGGAGGAGTGGGGCAGGTGCATGGAAGAACTTCTTGCGAGCGGCACGGGCTCACCCCAGCCCAATCTCAGCAGCAGCAGCAACAGCAGCAGGAGGAGCGGCGACAGCGGTGGCGGCAGCACCAGCCGTTCATCCAGTTCCGTGAGCTGCTGCTGCGAGGCGATGATGCCAAGGAGACAAGTGAGGAAGGCCGCACGGTGCCCGCTGTGACTCACGGGATTGTGACTGCAGCAGATGCGGCTGCACTGCCAGGGGCAGCAATCCCCGTGGGAGGGGAAGGAGGGGGAAGAGTCCCTGTAAGAGGAGAGGAGGAAATGCACAGCGTGGCTGCACAAGCTGCTGGGCACGGGTGTGAGGCAGGAAGGGTAGACGCAGTGGTGCCTGCTGTTGAAGCAGCTGTCGCTATAGCGACTCCTGCCCTCGCACCGATGGCACAAGCTGCAGCAGCCGAAGCACCTGCAGCAGCACCAGAGGCGGCAATGGAGGTATCAGGGGCAGTGAGAGAGGAGACACCAGCAGCAGCTACTTGTGACGAGTCAGTAGTTAGAAAGGCGTTGATCACAGCAGCAGATGCAGAAGAAGCGGCAGCAGAAGCAGAAGCGACAGCAGACGCAGAAGCGGCAGCAGAAGCAGCAAAAGCAGAAGCAGAAGGAGCAGGAGGAGAAGGAGAAGCAACATCAGTGGCATCAGCAGCAGAAGCAGCAGCAAGGGTGGCATCACCACCACCAATGGGTCCGAGCCTGCACAACCACCCATCTGCTGTTGACCTGCTGGCTGCAGCTGCTGCTGCCGCCGCTGAGTCAGATGCACGTCATGCTGAGTCAGACACTATCTGTGCTGATGAGAACGAAAGTTTGTGCTCACAACCACTAACTGGTGCTGCTGGTGATGTAGTTGCTATTGGTGCTGCTGCTGGTGCTGATGCTGTTGGTGGTGTTGGTGCTGCTGGTGGTGTTGGTGCTAGCGCCGCTGATGCTGGTGCTGCTAGTACTGCTATTGCGGCTGTTGATGTTCCTACCACTACTACTTTTCGTGCTGATGGCAGTCGTGATGCTGCTGACCGTAACCATGCTGCTCACCACAACCATGCTGCTGACCGCAACCATGCTGCTGACCGCAACCATGCTGCTGACCGCAACCATGCTGCTGATGGTAACCATATGGACAGGGGTGAAATGGGCAGTGGATGGGAGAACACAGGGCAGTTAGGACAGGGCGATGGGTCAAGACACGCCGGCGGCACTTGTGATGCTGCTGCCGCTGCTGCTGCTGATGGTGATACTACCGCTGCTAGTGTTGCTGATGATGATGCTGATGGGGCTGATGCTGCCGCTTCTACCTATGTTGCTGCTGCTGCAGACACTGATGCTGTTGATGCTGCTGCTGCTGCTGCTGCTGCTGCGAATGCATATTCTGATTTTAATGAAGCTGATACTGGTGCTGCTGGCGACGCTGGCACTGATGCGGCTCCCTCGTCCAAAGGCCAGCCGCCTCCATCCCTAGCTTCCCTTGGCTCCCAGCCACCATCCCCGGCATCCCCTCTCTCTTGCCCATCCCCACCATCCCCTCCCTCTCCTGCATCCCCACCACCCTCTCTTCCTCCATCCCCAGTGCGCCCTCTTCCTTCGCCGTCCCCACCACCCTCCCCCTCTCCCCACCCATGTGCCTCAGACGCCGCTCCCCCAACCATCTTCATCCGAGCAGCCTTCCTCTCCGCTCACCCCACCCCCACTCGCCGCCCACCACCGCCACCACCTCCCACTCGTCCTGCTCGCCTCTCAGCCGCCCTCTCAGACGCACCTCCCCCAACAAGCCCTTCTTTATTTCTGTTGCAATCAGCCCCTCCCTCAGTTGAGCCTCCCCCAGCTGGCCCTTGCGCTCCTCCCTCTCGACTGCTCGCTGCCCTCTCCCTGCCCCTCTCTGCCACCCCTATGGGTGCAAAGCCTATCTGCTTCCCTCCTGCTGATGCAGCAGTGGCGCTGCCAGAAAGAGCGGTAGTAGCAGCACCACCAGCGGTGGTAGCACCAGTGGAAGCAGCAGGGACAGCAGCAGGAGCAGCAGCAGGAGCGGCAGTAGGGCCGGCAGCAGCATCTGCTGCTGGTCTCATGGCACCCTGTGCGCCCCAATTGCAGGCAGGCACAGCAGTGAGTGGTGCAGGGATTAGAGCTGCTGCTCTGTCTTCCGCTGCTGCTGCTGCTGCTGCTGCTGCCACCGCTGCTGCATCACTGCCACGTGCAGAAGCACTAAGAGCAGCAGCAGCAGCAGCACCAACAGAGGCAGCAGTGCCAGCAGCAACAGTGCCAGCAGCAACAGTGCCAGCAGCAACAGTGCCAGCAGCAGCAGCAGCAACTGATGTGCTAGCAGCAGCAGCCAAGAGACATGCTGTGAGCGGCAAAGCCCCTTCTGCAGCTGTAGCCGCGGTCACAGGGGCACCTGACGCGTCACTGAAGGCAGCCAGGGGCTCCAGTAGTGCACGTGAAGACCCGTCCCGGAGAATCTCTGAGAATATAACAGACACAGCTGTTGGGCTTGTGAGGTCTTGTGATGACCCCTCTCGGCAGGGCAGCAGCGGGTTGTTTGAGCTGGCACAAAGGAGAGCTGCATCGCAGCACAGCAGTGCGTTTGCTGCAGCTGGCAAGCACTCCTCAAGAGCAGCCGCTGGGATGGAGCCAGTTGCTCATGCTGCTGCTGCTGCTGCTGCTGCTGCTGCTGCTGCTGCTGCTCCTCCTGCTGCTGCTCCTCATTCTGCTGCCAACACCGACCCCCTCGCTTTCTACCCCATCCCCCCTCTCCCCCGCTTCCGCAACTTCCCCCCACTCCCTCCCCCCCTCCGCTCCCAGTCCCCGAATGCCACCAGCCCCTTCCAGCCCCTCACATCCTCTCACTCCCCCGCGCCCCATCTCCCTCACTCTACTCCCTCTCCTGCATCTGTGCCCTTGCGCCCCACCCCCTCTATCCCCGCCCCCTCTATCCCCGCCCCCTCTATCCCCACCCCCTCTATCCCCACCCCCTCTATCCCCACCCCCTCTATCCCCACCCACCCCCTTCCCACTTCCGCTCACCATTCCCCAGCTCTGCACTACCTCCCCACTACCCTTTACTCTCTCCCTCACCCCTCTCTCGCTCACTCCTTATCCCCCGCCCCTCGCCCCATACCTCCTATCAGGCCTACTCCCTGGCGCAGATCCCCATCACCACAGCCACCGCAGGCACCGCAGGCACCGCAGGCACCGCAGGCACCGCAAGCACCACAGCCTCCCTCCCTTCAGTTCCCCTCCTGCATGCAACAGATCCCCACTCCCAGCCCTCCCACTGCCCCTGACTCAACCGCCCCGGTCGCTTCCACTTCCTCTCAAGCTGTCACTCCCGCTGCTGGCCCTTCGCCTGCCTCTCTGCACTCCACAGCCGCTGCTGACCCCTCTGTAGCCCCTGCTGCCCCCTCTGCTGCTGCTGCTGCTGCTGCTCCAGCTGACCCCTCCTCGTCCCTCTTCCCCCGGCGCAGGAGGCGCAGGCGAAGGGGGATGTTTGGGTGGCCGCCAGCAAGAGGCGTGGGGGGGGTGGGAGGATCAGGGGGAGGAGGGGTGGGCGAAGGAGGAGGACGGGGAGGAGGGGCAGGAAAGCCGTCTAGGAGCCTGGCGCCGGTGATGCTGCCTGACGGGCGCATCATTCAACTCTCCCCCTCGCTCCTCACTGGCAGCATTGCTGCTGCCACTACTCAACCCACCACCCCCACCATAACACCAGACACTACCATTACAACTATGGGCCTAACCCCCTACCCCCACCCCCACCCCCAACCCCACCCCCTACCTTTGACTGCTGGGCCTGCTGCCACTATCAGCCTAACCCCACCTAGTGGTATCACCCTGGTTACCGGTCATGGTTTGCAGCCCACCCCTTCAGCCAATCAGCTTGCGGCACCTGGCAGTGCAGCTGCTTCAGCTGTATCTGTGCCTTGTGTATCTACCCAGCACGTGCCTTTGGTCTCCCCATTAGCCAATCAGGCTGTGCCATCTGTCGTGCCAACAGCTCCCAGGCTGTCAGTTTCTGCTGTCGCTCTCGTTGCTACCACTGCTGGTACTACTGCTGCTACAGCTTCTACTGCTGCTACAGCTGCTACAGCTGCTACTGCTGCTGCTGCTGCTGCTGCTGCTACAGCTGCTACTGCTGCTACTGCTGCTACAGCTGCTACTGCTGCCACTGCTGCTGCTGCTCAGGCGGCTACTGTTGCCACTGCTGCTGCTGCTGCTCAGGCTGCTACTATTGCCACTCAAGCTGCTTTGGCTGCTACTCCAGCTGCGACTTCTGCTGGCACCATTGCAGCTGCCGTTGCTGCTGCTGCAACTGCTGCTGTTACTCCTCCTGCTACTCCTCCTCCTTCTCTTGCTGCTACTTGTGCTGCTGGCACTGCTACTACTGCTGCCTCTGCTGCTGCTACGCCTTCTGCCACTCCTAACTCCACCACCACCACTGCTACCACCACGGATTCCACTTCTGCTGCTACTACTGCTGCTGCTGCTGCTGCTCCTACTACAGCTGCTGCAGCTGCTGCTACTACTGCTGCTACTACTCCTGCTCCCGCTACTGCTGTCCCCACTGCCACCACTACCGCCCCTCACCCTGCCCATGCCTCTCCTGCTACCCCAGCCCCCTGTCTGCATAGGAGTGCTGCTTTGGGGAGTTCTGTAGCAGGAGGTGCTGTAGCAGGGGGTGCCGTAGCAGGGGGTGCTATAGCAGGGGGTGCTGTAGCAGGGGGTGTTGTAGCAGGGAGTTCTGTCGCAGGGAGTTCTGTAGCAGTGCCATCTGTAGTGGCATTGGTCAAGCCAGTGAACGGGGTTGTAGCAGGGCCAGCGCCTGGAGCAAGGGCAGCACCTGTAGCAAGGCTGGCACCTGTTGCAAGGGCAGCACCTGTAGCAGGGAGTTCTCTAGCAGTGCCGTCTGTTGCGGTACTGGTCAAGCCTGTGAACGGGATTGTAGCAGGGTCAGCACCTGTAGCAAGGCCGGCACCTGTATCAAGGCCGGCACCTGTATCAAGGCCAGCAGCTACAGCAGGGCCAGCACCTGTAGCCAGGCCAGCACCGAATGGCATCAAGGCGGCCAACAGGCACGCAGGGCCATCTGTAGCACAGGCACGCTCTGCGGCCTCTGTGCAGTGTCGTGGGTTGACATCTGGAGCACCAGCAGGCAGAATGGCACCTGTAGCTCCCCAAGGCAGGATGTCGCCTCTAGGAAAGGCCAGTGCGTTGGCATCTGTAGCACAGAGAGGGCGAATGACAGCTTTAGCAGCGGGAACCATTGCAAGTACGCCATGGGCCAGCAAGGGCCCTGCCAGTGGCTCTGTGTCAATGACTGCCAGCAAGGGGCGTGGCAGTGGCTGTGTGCCACCGAGTGGGAGCAAGGTGGCGGGGAGTGCTGCTGCTCGTGCTGCTGGCCCCCTAGCCCCTGCCGCCCGCCTCGCTCCATCACACCCTCCTTCTCATTTCCCAATTCCTCCCTCCAAGCCCTTCACTCCAAACGCCGCCTTCCTTCAATCTCAGCCATTGGATCACCACACCGCTGCTACATCCATGCGTTCCTCCCCTGCCACACTGCAATCCTCCCTCACTGTGGTTCCAGGCACCAGAGCCCCGTCTGCCTCCTCCTCACTTACCCAAACAAGGCCCCAGCCCAGCTACAGCTTCAGCCCCAGTCCAAGCCAAAGCTCGTGGCTCGGCTTGTCCAAGGCAGGCAGCGGAGGCTCGGCACAGGTGGTTCGGCCTCGGCCCATGCTTCCTGTGCCTGTCCCGCCTGCTGGCTCCATCCCCTCTGGCTCGGGTCCCAATGGTTCTCTCCCCCAGCGTCCATCGATCCGTGCTGCCTTCCTCCTTTCCCGCCCAGCTGCCCCATCCATGGCTCCCTCTGCTTCTGCTCCTACGGCTGCTGCTTCTAATGGTGCTACTAGTACAACCGCTTATGGTGCCGGTGCTGGTGCTGCTTCTGCTAGTACCACCTCTCAGCCAAGGGACATGGGCAGAAGAGTGTTGGGACTTGCAGCCTCTACAGCTGCAGAATCAGATTGTACACGGTCCATGAGTGTGGGGGTGGCGCTTTCAAGCTCTGGGGAGGACCCGTCAGTGTCAACGTCCCTGTCACTCTCGCTGTCTCTCTCCCCGCCATGCCCTCGTGCCGCCCATCCTCCACGCACAGTGGTATCCTCGACCATCCGATGAGGGATGCACGACGAGGAAAGGTGGTTAGGGGACGTTGTAGAAACAACTAGTAGGGTACCTCTTGCATCCAATGTGACCTATGTATTGAAACTTGGCGAAATGGTGCAATTTATTCATTTATGAGCTGGATATAACATATTGAGAAGAGCTTACATAGAATGGATTGTGTCAAGTCAACAAGGATATCTTCCAACAAGAAAATTATCAAAACGTTTAATAAACGTGTCAAATTTCTAGGAATTGCTTGCACCATGCTGCCTTTCATATGCGGTTTCCGCGATGCACGCTCATTTTCTCCATGTACCACCCACCATTGCGAGCAAGCAAGCAAATCCAGGCCACCTCTACCCCCTGCGACTGTCACTCAAGAATTTCTCTGCAGAAATTCAGGCTTCCTCAAACATATCGTTTATTCTGAAGCCGCTTTTATTCCGCTCAAGCATGCCGGAACTAGCTAGAAGTTGGTACTGCTCTTGTAGGTATTCTCAACGGTCCACTTCTCGCGGATCACCTTCTTCAGCTCCGCCTGCTTCCCGCCCACCGCCGTCACGCGCACGCTCACCTTCCGCCCCGCATCCACGATTTCCTTTGCTGGATCCAGCACCCACGTGGCACTCTCCCCGAGGCGCTTCATCTTGCTCCACTTCTTCCCGCCGTCCTTCGATAGCTCCACCCCCTCCACGCCGCCGGCTTTCGCGGCGCCTAGAATGTGCACCGCGAACCAGTACCGGTTCGTCCGGGGAACGATTTTGACCGCGATCTCGCCGTTTTTCGGGCAGTCGACGCTGCGGAATTTAATCTCCACGCTCCCCGTGGCGCGGTCGTGGACGATTTTGTCCCACGCGGTCGAGGAGAGGAGGAACTGGTCGTCGCCGCGCTTGCCGATGGCGCGCACCGTCAAGCTGCTGCCGCTTCGGCAGCTCTTGTGGTTCCGGCACTCGATCTCGTAGCACGCGCTGCAGCCCTTGCCGCCATCGTACTTATTCTGGGGCACGTACGCGGTTAGTCCATTATAGAAATAGCTCGAGTCGCGGAAATATGAGTTTTTTTTTGTAATAAAAAATTTACAGATTGTGATTCGACTAGAAGGGGAGTTTGCTGTAAAGGAGACAAACTCCATCTCTCGGCAGGTCCATCAGACCTGCCACGTAGTCTCATTTGCATTTTTCTGTTCCACCTATGACGACTGCACTATACACTCTTCTGAGGTCGTGTCACAATTGCCCTCGTAGTTGCACGCGCTGCCACCTAAGTTTATTCTGTCGCTGAATGTGGAACGGTAGGTGGCGGCGGTTGCGGGAGCGAGGGCGGCGAGGCCTGCTGATACTGCCGCGAGGAACGCGCAGCATAACAGCCGGCCGGTGAGGCTGAACGTGCGGCACGCCATTCCGTCACAACTAGTATTGCTCGTCACAAAGTCAGAGCTCAGGGATGTCTCAACTCAAAGCTCGGGAGAGTTTCTTGGCCGATATTGGTTGGGAAGCAAAAATGCTGGGATGCCGAGTGAAGCTCTGAAGCAAGAAGCGAAAATGCTGACACAGGAGGATGACACAGGAGGATCATGGCCCTGTTGTCAGCGTACAGGACCGGGGCAGAGCTAGGCCGTTCACCTAAGTCTGTAAGCAGAAACATAAGCCAGCGGAGCTCCTGTGCCGCCATGGCACCTGCGTAGATCTCAGCCTCACAGCTAGACTGTGCAACAGACAACGAGCGGGTGGACCTCCACGAGACCGCGCCTGCACCAAGGCTAAAGCAGTAGCCCAGAGAGAACCTGAGCGTCTCTGCGTCGTCGGCACACGAAGTGTCTGTGTGCCCTATTAGGACCACTAACCTGCGTCCTCCTAACACTTGCCGCATGCCTGATGTACATGCTAGATAACGCAAAACCCTCTTAGCTGCCGACCAGTACTATGGTCGGTGTCTGCCTGTCGCCACGAAGCGAGCCAGGATGCTGATAGGGTATGCAATATCTGGACAAGTGTAAGTCATCAGGTACATGAGGCAACCCACCAGCTCTGCGTATGGACCACTAGGCTCTACCGACTCCTCAGGGATAGGAGCCGAGAGCTTGTGATCTACTGGCAGAGGTGTGGGCTGCGCAGAGGAGAACTAAAGACCGAACCTCTAAAGGACCTCGCGCACCAAGTGTGACTGTGTGAGAGTGATGGTGTGCGCTGCTCTGTCCCAAGAGATCTATAGCACAAGGTAGCAGCGCTCTCTTAGGTCAGTGCAGGTGTGTCTCCTTAGCAGCTCAGCCTTCACCGAGTCCAGAGCATCTCTGTCTGCAGTAGCAAAGACCAAGCCGTCTACGTAGACAAGGATGTAGAACAGGGACTGTCTTGAAGGGACGAAGAGTGAAGGGTTTGCAGACGACGGGAAGAGCTGAAGTCAGCTCACGTAGCATGCTGCGTGTTGTGCCACTCACGGGGCGGCTGCCGCCGACCGTAAACTGGGCGCCGGAGGAGCCACTTGGTCCCAGGGGCGAAGGTGCCGGTGAACCCTGGCGGACGGCGCAGGTAGACCTGCTCGTGCAGACTGCCCTGGAGGAACGCTGTGGAGAAGTCAAGAGAGTGCAGATAGTAGTCACGCTGAGCTGCTACATTTAGCAGCGCCCGAAGAGTGATCATCTTCAGGATCGGGGCGAAGGTCTGAAAGAAGTCAACCCCCTCTCTCTGACTGAAGCCTCTAGCAAAGTAGCACGCCTTGAACACCGGCGGCTCTCTATGAGGGCGCTTCACCTTGAAGAGCCACCGGCCATCGACTACGGTGACGGTGGATCTTGGAGATCGCCCATGCTCCATGGCAGCTATCCAATAAGAGGCCCAGGGTCCCGAGGTCGCCTCAGCGTAAGTGCGAGGGGTCGGGATGTGAAAGGCATCTGGGTCACTCTCAGACAGGAAAGCAAGCTCGTACTGCCTGTCCTCTAGGACATCACTGCCAAGGGCAGATGCACCCCCAACAGACGGAGGACAGACAGGGTCAGAGACCAGAGCGGTGGCGTAGTCAAGGCGGCGCATAGAGGCGAAGTCAGCTACAGCAGCGACAAGAGCGTCAAGACTCGAGACAGGAACAGACGGGTCGGTAACAAGGGAGGCAAGGACCCGAGGAACAAGAGGACGAGTAACGCCAAGGTAGTCAACCAGAGAGGGAGGCGCGACAGCGAGCGATGACAGAAGAGGCGGAGGGAGGACCAGACGTGTGGGAACGAAGCAACATAGGGTGAGAGCGCTGAACAGGAGAGACAGGACGAGCACTAGAGGGACGGCGAGACCAGAGGTGAGACGGAGAGTAGCATGGAGAGGATCAAGTGGCCAGCTGAGGCGGAGGAAGATGTGGAGTAGCGTTCAACTACTGCATCTAGGAAGGCTTTGGCGTTTGCTACAGCAGTGAAGCGGGGACGCTCGGGTAGGGGAAGCGCATTACTAATGGCAAGCTGCGCTACTGGCATTGCACGAATCCCAGACTGCAAGAGCGAGCGCAGCAGCAGTTAAGGCCTCACTCTCAGCAGTGGTGGAGTTAGCAGGGAGGGGAGCAGGCGCGGGGGGGCGGGGGGGCGGGGGAGCAAGCCATCAACATGCATAGCCAGGGAGTGCCCATCCTAGCGCTGACCTGTCAGGTGCTGGCGAAGATCGACAAACCAAGCGGCGAAGTCGATCGTGTGCCCCTCTGCGTCCCGGCGTAGCATGGCGTCCGCCATCGCGCAATCTTAGCGGCACCGGGACACAGCGGTAGTGTGGCATAGAGACATAGCGGTACAAGGACGTGGGTACTCAGCTGCACGGCGGTGCAGCGGCGTGGCGGCAGGACTCTCCTGAACAGAGCCTGGGCGGAAGGCCGAGAGGGGCGCAAGAGGGTCGGTGGGCGCGTGAGGAGCCAGCGGACACGCAAGGGGCCGAGGCGCACGAGGGGCCGGCCAGGCGCGTGAGAGGCCGGGCAGGTGCGGGAGGGGCCGGCGCGTAGAGAGGAGTCAGCAAGACGCGTGAGGCCGGCGGTGCGCAGGAGGGGCCGGCTAGGCGGTAGGGGCCAGCTAGGTGAGAGGGGCTGGCTAGGCGAGAGGGGGCCGGCTATGCAAGAGGGGCCGGCGAAGCGCAAGGGGCCGGCGAGGCGAGAGGGGCCGGCTACGGTGCAAGGGGCCGGCTAGGCGAGAGGGGCCGGCTAGGTGCAAGGGGCCGGCTACGGCGCAAAGGGGGGCCGGCTAGGTGAGAGGGGCCGGCTAGGTGAGAGGGGCCGGCAAGGCACGAGGAGCGGGCTACCGCGTGGGAGGGGCCGGCTACGCACGAAGGGGGGGGAGGTCGGCTACGGTGCGAGGGGCCGGCTACGGCGAGAGAGTGGCCGGCTGGAAGTGAAGGGCCGGCTGGACGCAAAGGGCCGGCTGGACGCGAAGGGCCGGCTGGGTGCGAGGGGCGGATTAGGCTCGAGAGGGGCCGGCTGGGCGCGAGAGGGACAGCTTGGGCGCGAAGGGCCGGCTGGGCGCGAGGGGCCGACTAGGCGCGAGAGGGGCCGACTAGGCGCGCGAGGGGCCGACTAGGCAAGAGAGGGACCAGCTAGGCACGAGGGGCCAACCAAGCACGAGGGGCCGACGACTAGGCGCGAGGGGCCGACTAGGCACGAGGGGCCGACTAGGCGCGAGGGGCCGGCGGACGCGCTAGGGGTCGGAGAGGTACGGTAGGCTAGGGCGCGGGGCGGAAGCGGGTGGGTGGACCTAACCTTCTCAGGATACCATGTTGTAATACTAGAATGATTCGCAAGAAGAGAGAACAAGGGAGATAAGGGGTTTGGGTTGTACTCTCTAAGAAAGCACACCTATTCTAGCCTATAACTTCTACATGCAAATAAATGTTTAAGTTGACATAGTGGCACGGAGGTAGTCAGACAGAGGAGTCGGAGCGACAACAAGCGACGACGGAGGAGGCGACGGGAGGAGGGGAGGACGAGACGCGTGGGAACGGGGTCAGCGCGGTGTGACGGGGCCAGTGCGACATGACAGGGCGCGGGCTAGGGCGCGGTCTAAGGCTAGGGCTAAGGCTAGGGGCGTAAGCGTAGGCAGGGAGGGGGACTTAACCTAGCGTGATACCATGTTAGAAAAACGCAATGAACTAGATTGTGCCATACGGGGAGGTTTTGTGCTATG